GTGGATGGATGGATAGATGTTCCAGAATGGTCGGTTCTCTATAAAAAGCTCCACCACACCCGAATACATGTCTCATTTCAACACATCACGGAACACGCCAACCCTTGCCGCCTCCCTACACTTCCAAAACCTGTGGCTCACCTTGCCAGATATCTCCCTGTGGCTTCTCTGCTCAGCCCCCCTCCACAATAACACACTGTTCCACTATCTGGTAGTTCTCGACCCTGGCCTTGCCTCGGAACGGCATCTTTTGGAGCCACCCTCCGCAGCCCGTGGGCCAACCCCATCCCAGTGTTCAGTTATCCCCTCCACAACCCCGGTCTGTGCACAGAGCTTTCAGGTTGTTGGGGAGGAGGTAATATGCAGGCATTCATTCCCTGGAGCCCCAGTCCCCAGAGACCTGGGCGGGAACAGTGGCTCCTGTGTATCTTGGCATTCCATGGCCAGACTCCAGCCGTGCACTGAGGCTGTTTCATGCACAGGCTTAAGTGCTCTGTGCTCTGCTACCGAGGGGCTGGGAGCAGGCCCAGCCTGAGGCTCTGTCGCCCCCCCTTGGCAATGGCTAAAGGTGAAGAGAGAGCTCAACCTCCAGCAGAGTACCTGGGGCCACAGCCCACTGGTCCTCCCGGGGGCCTGTAACAGCCCTCCAGCTGTAGTCAATCCAGGAGCAGCTGGCTTCCCCACGGTCAGGGTTGCCAGCCCAGCACACGGATGCCCCACCAACACCATCACAGCTCCTGCCCTCCTGTCCCAGAAAATTACCCAGTACTTGGAGCACCGTGCCCTTCCCCTTGCAGATGCAGTGGTACCGAGAAAACCTCCGGTCCAGGTTCTTGGGGGGTCATGTGTGTCACCTTCCTAGTTTCAGACCTCGTGCAGAAGGTCGAAAAGTTGGCATGACTCCTCTCCCAAGCCAGGGGAGGAGACGAGGCCGTCTTGAGGATGTGGGGTGTCAACCAAATTCTGTGCTCTTTTTACATCCAAAGCCTCAATTTCAGGAAGGAATGGCCCATATTTCAGCAGGATTCCTGGTGGTAGGATGCTAATTAGCAATTCCAGGTTCAGAAGGAGGGGACCATCTCTCCACCGGCCTGAGGGTCAAGTCATTCAGACTGACGCTGAGCTGGCTGGGGAGCGCAGTGTGGGAGCAGCTGGGTCTCCCCACAGAGCGCGTGGGGAGCATGTCCAGAGGCTGGCAGGGTCTGCCATGTGTGGCTCACTTCACCCTCCAGTCACTTGTCTCTCCTGCCCGGAGCTCCACCCGGGGAACCCATGAGCCCTCGCAGTACGGCCTCCTCATGCACATCGCCTCTCGCTATTGGTTCCAAAAAAAAAAAAAAAAAAATGCACTTTAGGGGACAGATTGTAGAGGCCCTGTCCTGGAATCAGGTCCATCAAGTGTGGCCTGGAGCCCATCTCTGGGATAAGCACAGCAGGCCACTTCTCCTGCAGAGACATCAACACCACGCCCTCCTCCTTCCTGGCAAGACCCTCCTCACCCATCTTAGAGAAGAACAAGGAGGGACTTCCCTGATGGTCCAGTGGTTAGGATTCTGCACTTCCACCACAGTGGGTACAGGTTCGATCCCTGGTCAGGGAACTAAGATCCTGCAAGTGTCACAGAGCAGACTTAAAAAAAAAAAAGGAAGAGGGAGGCATCCTGAAAGATACATCAGGTACCTGAACAAGCCAGGCTAAAGGTTAGTTCCCAAAGAGACTGTTAGCTACTCAGGTCACCAGACAATTAAAATTTAAGGGGTGTTTTCCCTTTCCACCTTTCTGAAGAAGAGAAAGCTGCTAAGGAAAGCAAAATCCACTACAGAGAATTGCCTCTGAACTCTAATCTCACTGCATATGCGATTACAGTGTGAGGAAATTTATACCACAATGAAACCATACAAACTGCCACCCCTGAGGGTGGATGGGAGGGTTCAAGTCTTGGAGAAAGTACTCAAGAAATAACTGCAATAACCATTTTCATTCAAATGAAGTTTATCATCACCATGCTTCAAACATCGAACAGATTAAAAGAGACCTCGGGGCTCTGATCTATCCCTCAGAAGCAGGACCTGGTGCTGTGGAGACCCGGCCTGACATCCACAGGCCACTCCATGAATTGTCACTCATGGCCGGGTGCAGAGTCCCCGACACGGAACGCAGCGGGGCTCTTGCCTGTCGGTCTGCAGGCCCAGCCTCCAAAAGTGACGGGAGACGGGACCATGGTGGGTGGGGGGATGGGGGGTGGAACGCCAGGCTCTGTGCTGGGGAGGGTGCCCACTCCCATTCATGACTGCAGACCCTGCCCTGGGACAGGAGGTTGAGCTTTGCCCCAGGCCAGGGTCTTACTGAGAACAAGACTATTAGCAGAGAATCTGGGCCCCCCAGAGGAAGGAAGGCCAAGCAGAGGCCTTCAGCCTTCTGCCAGGACGAGAGAGAGAGGAGGTCACCAGGCCTCCACCACCTCCACCAAAAAGCTGAGTTCCGGGGTGCTGACAATGTCCTCTTCTTGATCCAACTGCTGATGAAAAAACTTTCAGGTTCCACGTTTAGCATTTATGCAGTTTTCTGCCCTTTGATTAAGAGTCTATTTTTTAAAGTCGCCAAAAACAAAATCAAACGTCCTCCCCCACAGTCTCTGGGTTCTTCACAGCCCCTTTTTACTGGGCAGAGAGGAGCACCCAGGCAGCTGTTGCTATAAATTGCCCAGTTTAATCCAAGTCAGTGAAAGATTGGGTCAGGCCGGGAATGGCCCCCAAGGGATATTTCACTCTTTCACCACAAAACTCAGAGTCTGACCTTCATTTGTTCTTCCATTCACCTCACAAGCTTATGTTCACCACACATTTCCACTCAGTGTCCCCTAAACTGGACGTCTCACACCTACCCTGAAACCTGTCTGACCTCCTGTGAGTCACCATTTCCCCAGAGACAGACTCTAGAAGCTGAGCTAAGGGCTCCAGTTCCCCTCAGCTGTTTGAGGTTTACAACAACTGACGAATTACACTGTAATTTCTGCTCTGGAAAAGTCGCCAGACTCCATGCCTTCCTTTCCCTGAGCTACACCTGCCTCTTCCGGCCCCCAAACCCTGACAACAGCCTCCTCATTGTGTCATGGTCTGCAGCCCCCACGCCTTCCAGATCAACCTCCCCACACCCATCAGAGACCGTGCATGCATTCATCACCAAAGGCTTTTGACGGAGCCCTACTACCTCTGAGAAAAGGCCACAACAAGCCCCAGCTTGGCCAGCCAGGCCCTCCATGACCCAGACCCACCTCCCTGGCCTCCCTGCTTTCAGCCCACCGACGGCAGGGGACCACTCTCCAGTCCCCACGTTCACCCGGCACATTTTTGCTTCCATGACTCCACTCACGTGACCGTCTCAATCCCACATACTCTCCCCATTTCCCGATCCTTTGATGTCCCCCTTGGCCTCCAGGACTCTGCACAGAAGTGAACTCCTCTGAGAAGTCCGCCCTAACTCCCTGCTCAGATTTCAGCACCTCTTTACTTGGCAGCTACTACACGCAGCCCATACTTGACTGCCATTCTGCCTTATCGCGTGGAGACCATCATCAGAAAAACCAACCGGCTCTCCCTTCAGAACGTTTCCAGAATCTGGGCATCTCCCTCCACCTCCAGGGCTGCGCCTCCTGCAAAGCGTCACATCTCTTGCTGGGATTCTTTGCCCTTAACTGTTCTTCCTGCTTCCATTCAGGCTTCCCAATAAGATCTGTTGTTTACAGAGTGACACTCTGAATATGTCTCAGGCTACATTATGCTTTGGCTCAAAGTCTTCCTCAGAATGAAGTCTAAAGTCTCCACCATGCTGGAAGTTTCTGTGGGATAGGCCCAGTCACCTCTTTTCAAGGTCCTGATTTTTTTTTTTCAACTATCTATAAATGTAAAAACCATGCTGAGCTCATGTACTACATATCAGGTGGCAAGCCAGATCTGCCCATGGGCTGTGGTGCACCTACCGCCAACTTCAAGGCTGAACCGGCATCCTCCAGGTGAAGATGGAAGAATGGGTTGGGGATAAGCGTCAAAGTGACCCTGCAGAGTTAACAGCCTTTGAAAAGTCTTAAAAACACAGAAATTATATGGAAAGAAGCTTAGCGTGAGAGTCAGGACTAGGGTGGGGTCTGGACTGAAAGAGGAGAGATCAGAGGGTTCAAATGAGGAAGGACCTTTCAAATTGCAAATTTCATATACGCTTTGAATTGTGTAAAGACGTGATCAGACCCTGATGCTGGGAAGGATTGGGGGCAGGAGGAGAAGGGGACGACAGAGGATGAGCTCGTTGGATGGCATCACCGACTCAATGGACATGGGTTTGAACAAACTCCAGGAGACGGTGAAGGACAGGGAAGCCCTGCATGCTGCAGCCCATGGGGTTGAAGAGAGTTGGACTGGACTCAGTGACTGAAGAAGGACAATGATCAATCAGGCTTGCAGTTTAGGAACATGTCTCAGGAAGGAAGAGAAGCGGGGGATGGGCCGCCTGGCTGAAAGACAGCGGCTTTAGTGCAGGCAGGATCGTTCTGGGTCCTGCTCACAAGCCTGCAAAGCTGCTGTTAAATATTCAGGCATTTTTGTAAGTCAGCAGTTGGACACATTCGTTATTTTTAAGTTAGATTTTATAGAGTTACAATGAAATAAATTACTTTTAAAACCAAGGTAGTCAGTACTCAAAACTTATCACTCTATCATTATTTTATGACGTTTTACTATTATCTTCGCTCTTGCGGTTATTTACGCCTATGTATTTATAGGGAATGCTACATAATGACGAGCTACTGAGCATCTCTGCCCAACTGTACCCTCAGGGGCCTGACGCGGGTACCTTGAAAGTAGCTCTCTCTGTGGGAATACTTACACCCCAGAAATGGACCAGAGCTACAAATCGGGACCACCCCCCCCCCGGCCCCACCCAGCTGGTAAACCTTAACCAGCGCCCTGCCTGGTCTAGGGCGGCGATGGGTACCTGCGTTAGGAAGGATGGGGCAGGGCGGGGGGACGGCTGGGATGAAATCACATCAACCGGGTAGCTCTGGAGAGATGAGGGAGAAGGACCAGGAGGAGACGCTTCCAAACGCTTCCACGTCAGAGAAGGGTCTCTTAATAAAGAGGCCGCGGTGGGAACCCAAGCCCCGGCTCCACACTCTCCCTAACGTCCAGGGTCCGCAGCCGCAGGGCGAGCGCTGTGCAGCGGGAGGAAGCGAGCGCTCGCCCAGGGTCCCCGAGGGGGTGGGCCCGGCCCCTGCGCCCGCGCTTCCATCTCATAGGCAGCTGCGCGCAGGGCTGTTTGGGCGCCCGCAGCGCCCGGCCAGCGGCCCGGCGTGTATTTATAAACACACAGCCCCACAGACAGGTCTCACCGACATCATTTCGCACGGCCCCGCGGTGCCGGCGGCCTGCTTCCCGACCTCCCATCGGGGGCGGCCGCCGGTAATCGGCGCTGATGGGAACCGCGCTCTCCCGGCCAGAGGCACGCAGCCCGCCGCCCACAGCCAGCGCCGGCCTCCCTCCCGGGGCCCGGGGGCCGGGCCTTCCTGGTAGAGCTCTGGGGAGAGGCGGCTGTAAACACGCCGCGGGCTGACCCGCGTGTGGAAATGACTCGCGGTCGGGCCTGGCGCCCGGCCACAGGCCTGCGGCCTCGCTGCCGCCAAGTATCTTTAGCAGGAGCCTTGGGACCGCGGGCCCCCCGCCGCCTCCCCCAGCCCCGCCCTGCCGGCTCACACCCCGAGGCCGGCCGAGCCTCACCCTTCGAGCGCGCGAGGAGGGCCTGGCTCCATCGCCCCCCACCCCACGTGTCCTCTGACAGTAATCATGACAGCGCAATCACAGCTTCCGCTGCCTGGACGGGGCGCTTCGTCCCCCGGATCTGGTTGCATTTACACGGAAGCCGCGGAGAAAGGAAGGCTGCGGAGGGCAAGGTCAGCGGGGGCGTCCGGGGCTCTGGGCACACCAGAGACTCACACCATCGGGCGGGAAGGGCCCCTGTGCCCGAGGAAGAGAAGATAGGGCCGGGGCAGTGATGGCAAGACTGAGAGAAGAGGGTCGTGGGCCTAGAACGGAAATGCACAGGTGCAGTTCCGGCGTGAGGGAGCCGTCCTGGCAGGAGAGCAGGCCTCCAGACCAGAGGCAAAGGCAGGAGGGGTCCCTGAAGACTGAGTCAGGCGGAGGACATGCAGGAGCCCTGGGAGGCTGCACAGGCGCCAGGCCCGGCTTCCGAAGGACCCTGGGAGGCCTCCTTGAAGACACGGTCCAAACAGGACCCCCCCGAGGCCATCTTTCGAGAATGCCAAGCTTTCATTTCTTCATCAAACTTCCAGGCCGCCCTTGGGCTGGGGAACTCACCACTGTGGGAAGGCGGCAGGTGAAGGAGACAGTGAAACTTCTCTTGGTCTCCATGACAGGCGGCCAGGGCGCCTCTGGCCTCTGTTTTCTCTGAGACGCTGACATGGCCGGGGTTAAGCCCTCGCTGAGACGGTGCACGAGGCACGTGGCTGTCCTCCACGATCAGCCCACTGAAGCTGTTCTCTCTCTCTCTCCCTCTCCTGAGCTCCTTCCTTCCCACTTTCTTCCCTCCCTGCCCCCTCTATGTGCCCATTCTCTACAATTCTAGTGGTTGGAATGTTCTTTCTTGAGTTGAACCACCCTCAACCTCCCTGTAGATCCCACAAGTTTGCTCCCATGTCTGCCCTCCAGGGACAGGTGGGATAAGTAGATAAGAAAACAACTGTGAGGATGATGCTGGGGCTGCCTCTGCTGATGCAAATATTATTCAGCTCTTATCTTGCACTGAGAAATTTGCAGCTATTCCTTCACATATGAGGATCGCAACCTCACGGAACAGGTTCTTTAATCATCTTCATTTCAGAGACTGCAAAACTGAGACTTGGAGGCATTCAGTAACTTGTCCCACATTTCACAGCAAACGGGTGGCAGAATTAGGATTTGATTCGGAATGTGATCCAAAAGCCAGTTCTCTTAACCATGGAGATGAATTGATTTTTTTTTTTCCTCTGTCTTCCATTTGTGCATGTGTGCTAAGTCGATTCAGTCATGTCTGACTCTTTGCAACCCTATTGCAACCCTAGGGACTGCAGTCCGCCAGGCTCCTCCATCCATGGGAATTCTCTAGGCAAGAATACTGGAGTGGGTTGTCATGCCCTCCTCCAGGGGATCTTCCCCACCCAGGGATTGAACCCAGGTAACCTGCATTGCAGGCAGATTCTTTACTGTCTGATCCTCCAGGGAAGCCCAAGAATACAGGGATGGGTAGCCTATACCTTTTTCGGGGGAACTTCCTGACCCAAGAATTGAACAGGGGCCTCCTACATTGCAGGCAGATTCTTTACCAGCTGAGCTACCCAGGAAGCCTTCCCAGAGTTGAGTATAAGCCTTTCCCCACATGCTCGTTAACCTCCTCAAAGATCATATCCAGCTCCTTCCTTTTGAGAAAAAATGCATTAGCCCTCCCTGTCGGGCTTCC